TTTCTTATATTTTTTTCTTTTTCCTTCTTTCCCTTCCCCTACCCCTCCCACATCCCCTACTCACTCTTTTAGACCTTTTCTTCCTATTTCACATTATCAATTGTACATTTCCATCCTTATTTATACTTTCAGTTTTTCATACCGGAGAAACACTTCAGTATTTACACGTGTGTCCTATTTATTTCACTTGAGTATGGCCTCATTGTGCATTCATTTAGCTATAAATGTTTCTCATTCTTTATGGCTGAGTAGGACTCCATTTTATAAAACAACCACATTTTCTTACAATTTATAAACCCGGTACCACTAACTTAGGTATTAAAAAGCACAAGAACCCAAGTTGATTGAATGAAAGTAAATGCTCACCTGGCCTTGTTATAATGAAGTAGGAGAACACCAAAGACAAAAGATGTTTGTCATTCCTAGAGGAAGAAGACAGATTTACCTTGAATGGTTCATACTCAGACCTTGAAATGTTATCTTCAGTGAAAAGGAAACACAATCTAGAAATCTATACTAAACTAAAAAAATATGGCAGTTCATATATTTATTTCATGCAGACAGAAACTAAGCAATTGCAAGTTAGAAGTTTTTAACAAAGGAAGTTAATTCGTAGGTGAAAAGTCTGAGGATAAATAAGAATGAAAAGCACAAGATATATTAAATATCTTAGAGCATCTAAACAGTTTCTTAGATTTTTAAAAAACAGAATACGTCTTAGACACTTTCTCATTGCTAGGACAAAATACCTGACACAATGTATATTTCATTTCGTGCTTGTCAGGCTCAAATGCAGAAATTATATACTGGAACGGCCTGAGCAGAGGAAATCTGTTCATGTCAAGGTAGACAGGAAGCAGGGAAAGAAAGAAGGAAGGAGATGGCTAAGAAGGTATACCCTTTTAGGTCATACTTCTGGTGACCTGTCTCTTTCAACCAAGCCCATCTCTTAACAGCACATTCACCTGTGGATTCAATCCACCCCATGATTCAGTCACCTAAAAGTCTCATGAGAGTTGGACAATGTATATGTAAACCATAACTATATTCTTCCTCTGGCCCCTAAAAGATCCATGTCCATCTTCTCATATAAAATGGATTTAATCCTCCTCTAAGAATCTCCAGAATTTAATAATTTCAGTATTGCTGAAAAGTCAAAGTCTCCTCTGAGACTCAAGGCAAACTCTTAGCTGTTATCCTCTATAAATCTCAAAAAGAGACGTTACTGACATACAGTGGCATGGGGTAAACATTTCCATTCCAAAAGGGAGAAATGGGAGGATAGAAAGGAATCAGACCACAGTTTAGCAGGGCAAACACTAAATTTCATAGCTCCATGTGCATTACCTGGGGCAAGTTGTGGTGAAATGTGAGTTCAAAAGTCCTGGCATTGTTGCCCACATGGCATTACCTGTTGGAACCCACATGGCCTATGTCTAGGTTGGCTGTGCTCACTGCCAATGGCTTTCCTTAGATGTTCCACATTCCTGGCTTCTTCACCTTCCTGGGGTCTCCACTATAATTTTGACTTCATTTTCACAGTTCTGCTCTCTCAAGGGCATACTGCCTGGCCTTCAGGCCTCCTAAATCTAGGTGGAAGCCTCCCTGACCCACAGCTGTTGGCCATGCCTATAAAACCAGTATCATGTGGATGACACTAGCTCCAGCAGTAGCCATGTTGCTTGAATCTTTTCCTTCAGGGGCCTCAGAATGCATAATGGCAGAACCCTTTGAACCAAATTTCCTGGAAGCAGATCCCCTTTGTATAGCCTTTCTGGAACAGGGTGGTGCCAAGTGGCTCTCTTCTCAAAGCAGAGTCTTTGAAAGAATTTTTCTTCTGTCTTTTTATACCTTTGAGCTGGTGAAGGATCTTGCTGATTCCTGAGATGTGCTCAAGGCATTTTTCATATTGTCCTGATGCAAAGTGCTTGGCTTCTTTTTAATGCTAATCTTTTTTTAGCAGCCATGCTCTCTCCTTTGCTTCAATTTTGTTTTTTTGTTGTGGTGGTGTTTTTTGTTTTTTTTGTTTTGTTTTGTTTTTTTGTTTTTTTTTTTGAGACAGTGTCTCAGACAGACCTGGAACTCACTGTGTAGCCCAGGCTAGTCTTGAACTAACAGTGATCCTCCTGCCTCAGCCTGCTGAGTGCTGGGATTACAGGCGTGCACCACCAAGCCCAGCTCTCCTTTGCTTCAGTTTTGCTGGTTTTTCCTCTGGCAAAACTGGAAATTTTTCAAATTTTTTTTTGTTTGTTTGTTTGTTTTTGCTCCTGAATCTTGTTGTAAATCTGGTTGAAAGTAGTCAGTAGTATCCATGCCACAGACTGAATGTTGGGCTGTCGTGATATTTTTTCCACCAGATGAGTCTGCCACTCTCTAATCTTGCTAAAGTGATTGATTAGGCATGGTGGGTAACCCAAATAGGATCAAATGGAAAAGCCTAAATTGACCAATTGGAGATTGAACTCAGGTCCTTGTGCTTGCAAGGCAGGCCACTGAACCGCTGAGCTAAATCCCTGGCCCTAAAGGACAGCTGCCTTTACAGGTGAGTTTTATCAAGGAACCTGTCCTTTTTAAAGCTCCATTTCAGTATTTGCATAACTGTTGGATATCACCATCTGATCACATTGTTAGTGTCTTAAAATCAGCATGTTGAAATCAGTAACTCAGGTCCTTGTGCTTGCAAGGCAGGCCACTGAACCGCTGAGCTAAATCCCTGGCCCTAAAGGACAGCTGCCTTTACAGGTGAGTTTTATCAAGGAACCTGTCCTTTTTAAAGCTCCATTTCAGTATTTGCATAACTGTTGGATATCACCATCTGATCACATTGTTAGTGTCTTAAAATCAGCATGTTGAAATCAGTTTCCACCTGCTTTTCCACTTTTGCCTATCAGTCTTGCTTTTTTTTGGTTGACTTGCCTTAGTTAACTTACGATCACTGCTTATTTTACAGTGTTTTCATTTTTCTTATGTTCCTAGGTTCTTTAACTTTCTTTACTTTCCCAGTCTCTTTACTGCTCTTCAGGACCTTATGTCCTTTTCCATTGTGAAAAAAGAAGCCACCAAATATGAATTCTTTCAGTCTGTCTTTCCTAGGCTCGGTTAAATGCTTTCCATTTTCATATAGTATAATGCTGACACACACAAAAAAAGAAAATGTATTACAAATTGCTACTTTCATGGTTACCTCCCTTTCAGTTTTCCAGCCAATATATTTTTTAGCCACTCTACACTAATGTTGTGCTCTTTTAATATTATTTCTCCAGGTTTTTCTTAACTCTGATGGCTGTTGCATTGTATTTCTTCTTCCCTTCTATCCTTGCTCCTCCTCTCTTCCTTTCCAAAAACAAAAAATGCTTACGTGTAGGTCTTGCATGAGGTACTCTTTTCTGCTTGCATCTTCCATTTTTATTTGTATGTAAATGTGAATGCATGTGACTGAATGCTTTCTACCTTCATTAATAGTATTGCTGCCCTTTGATGCACACACACACTGGAATTTCTCTAGTTTTAGTTATTGCCTGTGTATCCAAGTGGTTAGCAAATCTTGATTCTTGACAATGCTTCTCAGTTCTGTCTCTATTTCGATTGACCTGGCTATGTTCATTTACCTTGCTGAAGTCCTTAGATAGTTCTTAATGGTCTGTGGTGCAGAAATAAACTAGTATTGCCTTTGTAGCCCTATTTCCAGCAGTGAGTCCCTCCTTAAATCTTGATTCAGTATGATGGGGTATTTGCATGTTTTTTATGGTTGATGCTTTTGCTTCTGTTCCTCCAGCATCCCTTTCCTTTTCTCCCCCTCCTACACATTGAATCTCAGAAAGAAAGATTCATAAGCAAAGTCATCCTTTTCTCAGGCTGAATTCTTAGCTTCAGATGTTTCTGTGACATTGTATTTGTATCTTTTTTGATCTGTATTTCTGTCTTGCCTTAAAATAAACTTGAGTACTTGAGTGGCTTGTTTCTGCTACCTGTTTTTTCTGTTCCATGACATCAAGAACATCCTTCAAGAACATCTTTATTTCTTCTTCAGAGCCTGCAGTATGCTTTGTTTTTTTTTATATCAATTCATTGGTGGGGGGGCTATATTTTGTTTTTATTAGCCTCTAGTTTGTTGGAGACAGTGTGCCTAAAACTATTAAATTTTTGAGTTAAAAGTTAGCTTATCACTATTCCAAGATCTATTTTATAGATATAAGTATGTCCCCCAAATTTAATTGAATTCCATGATGTCATACCACTCAAGTAACTGATGGCTTCTGACATTTTCAAACTTCAGTTTCAGACTTTCAGAAGGGATGAGGTTGACTAGAGAATTCTGAAGAGCTTATTTTCTTTATATGATTTTTTTTTTGTACCAGGGATTAAACTTGGGATCTTGCACTTGTGAGGCAGGTGGTGACACCACTGAACTAAATCCCCGGCCCTCTTTAGAGGATTTTATCCAAGAGTTTAAGTCTCCATTTGCTTAGAACCTCTAACTTTTGCTGCACAGGGGAGTAGGGGTCTTCCATGAACTGGGGTTGCTTTGGCACTCTCACGTGTGATCTCAGAGGCAGAAAAGTGGCCTCCTTTTCATTTTGTCCTGTAGAAGCAAGTCTCATTTCTCTTTCCTTGAACAGTGGCTCCCATTTGTTCATTACTTTGCCTGGAGTCCTTCTTGGAGACCTCCTTAATTGTTAGGAAACCATTTTTTAGTTCTGTAATGCCTTTTATAAACTTACATAGTGTCTGATGGTTACATGGTTTTAAGAAAAATACCATGAGGAGAAGCGTTTGTCTTAATTTTCATCTTTAGTTAACTGTAAAGCTTGAATTCCACTTAGGCAGATTAATTTGTCACCACTTTATCCCCAACACTCTCTTAGTTTCCATTGTCTTTTAATGGATCATAATTTACTATTCCCAATAATATCTTATTATTGCTCTCAGAGGAGAATTGGTGCAAGAAATTTTTTCTCACAGAACTAAACTCCCTTTTTCTCTTACCCACTAGATGGCTCAAGTGCACCATGCAGTAGCTCAGCCTGCCATGGGCATGCTTCATCTGTGCTTTCTGCTTCCAGGTACAGAACTCTTGCCTTCACATTGTCTGACGATCCCTTCTCTGCACCTCTCTCATTCTAGTGCTTTACGTGTATGTGAATGGAAAATTTCCTTACATTTTAAAATTATATACCGTGTAACTGTTCTTCATATCAAAAGTAAAAACAGTGCATTAGAATACTGAAATGAAAGTTTTTGGTTAGACTGTTTTGGACTTGAATTCAGTTGCCAGTAACTTGTATATACATTTCCTCACACTAGGCACGCAGTTATAGCTCATCCTTTTCTTCATGATTGATAGTTACTTTGCATCATTCCTATGATACAGTATTACTTCAGGAGTCTTTTTAAGGCACTGTGGGCTAGTTGTTTCTGTCAGTAATATTTACCAAGTGTTTATGCACTTGGCACCCTACAGGTAGAGAGGGGAAATTGAATGAATAAACAGCTATGTTTATTAGTAACAAACCCACTGTGTTTATTTATTTTCTCTTTTGAAGCTAAATAGTAGTTGTATGAAATGACTAATGGAAATTATGTTTGTAACCATCCATGAGGACAGATATTTCTCCAAAATAAAAACATTTAAACTGTATTCCTTAGAAATATTTTACGCTTAGCTTGTTGTGGCAATACAGGCCTGTAATCCTGGCTACTCAGGAGGCTGAAGCAGGAAGATCAGAAGTTCAGGGCCAGTCTGGGCAGCCTGATGAGATCTTGTCTCAAAAAATAAATAAAAAGGACTTGAGATTATGTAAAGAGCTTGCCTACCATGAGGGAAGGCCCTGGGTTTGATTCCTACTACCATAAAAACAAAACAACACTGTTTATGATTGGTGGTTATTTTGGGTTAAGTACAAAAGAGAGGCAACTAAGAGTGGCTGAATGAGGGCTGGGGATTTAGCTCAGCGGCTCGGCGCAAGGACCCGAGTTCAATCTCCGGTAACAAAAAAAAAGTGGCTGAATGTTTATTGTCTAGTTTCTCACTTAATAAGCTCTTATGTGCATTATTGTATTTCATTCACCCAATAACCTGGCAGACAAATACAAATTTTAAAGATGAAGAAACTGAGGAATCAAGCGGCTTAAATAAATTTCCCAGGATCAAACAACTAGTAAATAGAAAGGCAAAATGTTTGGACCCATCTCAGACCTGCTTTTAAATACCTTTTCTAGGGCCGGGGATTTAGCTCAGCGGTTTGGTGGCCTGCCTTGCAAGTGCAAGGACCCGAGTTCAATCCCTGGTACCAAAAAAAAAAACAACTTTTCTTTCAAGTAACTTTTGTAGTCTCCTAGAAAAAAGGTGCTTGTCCCTTCAAAAGCAATCTGAGCCACTATGGCATATAAAAGATTGCATGCCTGCCTTCCTGTTTGCCTGCCTGCCATCCATCCATCATCTATCCATTTAAAATAATTATTTTCTGAAATGGAGCCATTTTTAATTCTTTTTTTGGGGGGGTACCAGGGATTGAACTCGGGTCCTTGCACTTGCAAGGCAGGCCACCAAACCACTGAGCTAAATCCCCAGCCCCCATTTTTAATTCTTATATCAATTGGTTGAATACTTCCATATCTGAAAGGCAGTAAACACCAAACAAAGGAGAGATTACCTTTGGGAATTGATTTTTAAATATTATAGAGAAATTTGTTTTTGTCAAAATAGAACAACCCGACCATACTGTCTCTTTGACAGAAAAACTTAAAAATATAAAAAAACTCTAAAAATTTGCTCATCCAGATTTTTGTACCTTTTAGTCTTATTTTTCAGTTACACTGTTTAGTGCCTATTGTAACTATGAATGATTTCCATCATTTTGAAAGTATAGTACATGATTTAAGGAAGATGATGAATTATTAAGGTAAAAAATACCCAAGTTTCTAACAATAACTAGATAACAATTTGTCTTCATAAGATTCCTTTGATTTCTCTTGTTTAAAGGTCCTTGCAGCTAAGCTATGAGGCAGGAAATACGGTTGTTACCCAGTTTTAAACAAGAGTAAAATAAAGAACTAAAAAATTGTTAGTGAAAGGAAGTGCCTAATTTCTCTGTGGCTGTCGTATAATTTCCTGGTTCTGTAGTCTTTGTCCTTTGTCATTGTATCTGAAAATATTTATTACATACATATGCTTCAAAATTGAGGTGGTTTTGTAATGGCTATTGAAAGAAAAATAATCATAACTGCTGACTGAACCATTGATGTCATTTTATGTCACCAGATTTAGGATGTCATCTTCCTGTGACTAAACATATCCCCCATGCCACAGTTATCCTACTGAGTGGCAAGATAGGCTGATGTTTTTATTCCTTTTTATGTATTATTAATTATTGACAGTATCGCCATATTATACAGTGTTATTTTGTATGGAAATCCCAAAAACTTTGACTATTTTTGGTAACAAAGATAATTTCATCTATAAAGACTTACTTGTTTATAAAGTTTTTTTTTTTGCGAAGGTGTTTATAGAAAGTGTATTGAATTCCTGGAGAAGTTATTATTGATAAGTATGTAATCTGAATGATATTTCAGCTGTAAGGAGGGAACTTTCAGTTGTCAATGAATGAGCATGTTTAATGAGTTCAGAGTTGTGGGATGATGGATTACAATTAGCTGTCTTAATCAACTTCATCTAATTATAATTACATTGTTTAGGGCCAGGGATTTAGCTCAGTGGTTCCACCGCCTGCCTCTCAAGCCCAAGGTCCTGAGTCCGATCCCTGGTACCAAAATAAAAAAAAAAAAAAATTACATTGTTTAGTCACTTCCTTATTCAGTAATGATAAGTTATTAGTATGTAGTCTTTGGATAGCTATCAAATATGCTCACAGATTTCCAAATGTCTTTGATGAATAAAGCCCACAAGAAATTGAAGACAAATGAAAATTCTTTAGAATTATACAGAGTTTTTCCCCCCTTTTTTGGATTTGGATGAAATTCAAATTTGTTTAATTTAACCAAAAATGTCCTTGTATAGTAAGAAAATCCTGTGTATATTTAAATAGTTAACCTGTTGTAACTCTTTGTTAGTTGAAAATTAGGGTAGGTTTATGGAAAATGAGTATTTATACATTATATATATTTTAAGTACCAAAAGTACCATTGTTTTGTTATTTTGTTTTCTTTTACTGTGCTCCATGGTGGAGAGGCGGCACTTTTATTGTGTGGCAGTACATACTGCTTATGTGTAAACACAAATTTTACAAATATCCTTATCACATGGTCTGCATTCTAATTCTTCCTTTTCTGTTTGACTTTTTTCAGAAAGTTGAATTCACTAAGTTGACTTCATGATTCATCAGTGGTTTGGGACTCAGTTTGGAAAACAAGGCCTTATAGGATTGAAAAGTAAGTTTTTCACCCTAAATGCTAGCAACTGACCATTCTAAAACAGTATGAATGTTTGTAAACCTTTATAGTAATTGAGTAGCAGAAAAAAATAAAATGAATTCTTCGGCTAAGTAATAAGCAAATGTTATTTGACTTTTGTTTTCTGAAATTTAACTGGATGCTTACAAGGTATGAGATCAAGAACTATGTTGATTGAAACATCATGGTTGTCTGTGTACCTTTAAAATTAAGACAATTGAAAGATAAGTTTCAAGTTAATTGTTTTTAAATGATGTAATTAACCAGAGCACAACATTCTAAATATGAAAAGTATGCAAATATAATTTTATTATGTGTAAGTGCAGGAGGAATAAAGTTCTGTTAAATGTTGAAGCACAAGGCTGGGTGATCACCTTCATGAATGAGTTTAGTGGGATTGGTGAGATCAGGACTGATTATTATGGGGAGATAAAGAGATTGTCTTAGTTACTTTTCTCATTGCTGAAACAAAGTTAAAGGAGAAAGGCTTATTTTGGCTCACACTTCCTAGAGATTTCAGTCCATAAGCAGCTCCAAGGCAGGGTAGCATGTCCAAGGGACATCTCAGAGGAGAAACAGTTCTTGATGAGGCAGGCAGCAAGCAGCAAGTGAGGAAGCAGCAAGCAACAACAGCCCTCTTTCTGACCCTTATGTTTTATTCAGGTTACCTGCCCTTAGGGTGGGTAACATTTACACCCAGGGTGGGGCACCCTTAATCCTACCCAGAAACAAATCAGTGGACTAATTTAGTAACCCACCACACCCTTTATGTCAGCATCATACACTAGATCCAGCCACCTCTGAAAAGTCCTACATATGAGAGCATGAGGCTTTGAGGGGACAACTAGACAAGAGCCATAACAAAGATCAAATAGCAAATACAAACACTGTATAAGTAGTTTTGCTGAGAGGGGCTGGTGGTTAGAGGTTGTGATGATAGTGAAGTTGGATTTTTAACTACTTTTTTTAAAAAGAAAACAATGGGAGAAAGAGTGAAAATCAGTTGAGCAAGATCTGGAGAGTTTTCAGAGCACTGTTACTTTTAATGGTGAAGAATAAAATATATTGTGCCCGATCTGATAGTGCACCGCTGTTATCCCATCTCTCAGCAGACTGAAGCAGGAAGATTGTATTCTGGAGGCCAGCCTAGGAGCATAGTGAGTTAAAAGGCCAGCTTGGGCTACATAGTGAGACCCTGTCTCCAAAAAAAATAGACAAGTCTGTAGAAATTAGCTTAGTGAATGGAAGTTGAGATATTTTCTGATTTTTTATTTTCTCTGGAGAGGGGTTGCATTCACCTTGAAGTAAAGTAAAATTGCAGATTTAAGTAACAGGGTGACAACTTGAAATTAATACTCTAAAAGTTAGAGAACGTAGCAGACTATGAAATGTAAGATGTTTTACCTGGCTTGGATTGGAGGCTTTAAATCCAAAAATGAGCACCAATATGCACAATTGTGTTTGTTTTATTTAGCAATCTATAGGTTCAAAAGGAGGTGGAACTTGACTGGGCCTATGATATGGATGTAGTGGTGGCCTGAGAGACCATGGAATGTAAAAGGAGACAGTGAGGAGGATATAGAAAGAAGAACACTTTCTATTATATTCTTAAAACACAGAATAATTCTGTGGACCCTAGTCACCAAAATGTTTGAGGATTTCTCCTTACCAGCAACCAAATCTGCAATTTCTCCAGTGGAAACTAGCTGGGTGTCCTCTAATTCAGTTCAGATCTAACACTGTCTGCCTAGAGATAGCCTCAGATCCTGTAGGTCAGTGATAGAATCAACTAATGTGCCAGAATGGCTTATAGAACTAAGGCAAAACTTCACTTACATTTACTGTTATAAAGGGTTTACAGAGAATACCGATAAACAGCCCAGTGAACGAGATTCCATAAGGCAGTGTGTGGGAGAACGGGTATGAAGCATCCAGTGCCCTCTCCAGGCACACTTCCTCTAAGAGCTTGCATTTCAGCCATCTAGAAGCCCCTGGAATTCACCCCTTTTGCCTTTTTCTGGAAACTTTATTACATAAGCATGGTTGATTAAATCATTGGACATCACTTTCTTCGCACTTCTTTTGACCCTTTCAACTCTATTCCCTCCTGTAAATAGTTTGAGCCATTTAACCACTAGGTGGTTCTCCCTGGCAGTAGTCATTCAGAGGTTACCTAAGAAAACCCCTATTTGTTATTAGCTCACTATCAAACAAAACATTCTACCCACTTTGGAGAGTCCCAGGATTTTAGGAGTTTTATGCTAGGAAGTGAGGACAAGACCAAATGTATCTTTCAGTTTCGTAGTATAAATTAATTAATACACTTATGTTTAGTTAGCACTATTGACATTTGTGAATCCAAAAATCCAAGACACCACAAACCAAATCATTTTATCACTTCTGTTGGACACACATGTCACTTTTAAATAGTTTTAAATGGTATTTTCTTAGTTACTTTCTGATTGCTGATACAAAATCCCTGACACCCAAAGTTAAAGGTGGAAGGGTTTATTGTAGCTAGCTCACAGTTTGTACAGGTTTCAGTCAATAGGCAGCTGGCTCGTAGGCAGGGATAGGGACTTCATACAGGAGAAACAGTTTATGGCAGGCAGAGGGCAGCAAAAGGAGCAAGCAGCAAGTGAGAAGCAACAACAAGAGCAGCCCTCTTTCTGTCCCTTAGATTCTATCTAGGTTTTACCTGCTCTTAGGGCTGGTAGCACGCTTGTCCAGGGTGGAACACCCTTAGTCCTAGCATCACACCATGAATCGATCCCAGCATCACAAAATAGATCCGTCTATCTTGAAAAGCTGAATCTATAAATGCGTGAAGCTCTGGGGTACATCTAGATGCAAGCTATAACTGATGTCATGAGCTTTTCCCATTTGTAGTTAATTTACTCGTGATTGTTTTAAATCTCCTCTGGAGGAGTGTAAAGAATAAGAGGAGACAAGCTGGGCATGGTCGTTCATGCCTGTAATCCCAGCACTCAGGAAGCTGAGGCAGGAGAATTGCTGTGAGTTCAAGACCAGCCTCGGCTACATAGTGAGTTCCAGGTCACTTGCAACTACATAGTGAGACCCTGTCTCAGGAAAAAAAAAAGAAGAAGAAGAAGAAAAAGAAGAAGAAGAAGGAGGAGGGGGAGGGGGAGGGGGACCACCTCTCTTTTGTTAACCTAGTAGGCAGTCATCTGCATGAAGATGAAACTGAATGTCTCCTTAATGGCCATTGGCTGTCAGAAACTCATTGAACTGAACAATGAACACAGCTTTTATACTTTTGATGATAAATTCCTGGCCACAAAAGTTACTGCTGATGATCTGGGTAAAGAAGGAGTTATATGGTCCCTATTGGTTTGGGAATGGCAAACGAGATTATTTGACACCCATGGAACAGGTATCTTGATATAGGAGCAGCAGGTGTGCCTGCTGTTAAGGAGCATTCCAATTATAGGCCACGGAGAAATGGACCAAGAAAGCACAGATCTATTCAGAGTTACACTGTGGATTCCAATCTGAGCATTCTCAACTTAGTATGTAAAAGGCTGGGGGTGGTATTTCTGGACTGATACTGCTGTGCTTTGTCGACCAGGGGTCTGGCGAGCTAGAATCTGTAGACTTTAATTCATTCTAACAAAGATGCTGTCTGCCAGTGTGTTATCAGAAAGCCCTTAAATAAGGACCAAATCCAGGACCAAAGCACCCAAGACTGAGCCTCTTATTGCTCCATGTATTTTGCTACACAAATACCAGTGTATAGCTCTGAAGAAGGAGCCTACTAAGAAAAATAAAGAAGAGACTGGTGAATATGCTAAGTTTTTGCCCAAAATAGTGAAGAAAGTAAAAGAAAAATGTCTGGAATTGATTGCCAAAAGATGCAGGCTGTCCTCTCTGAGAATTTCTCCTTCTGAGTCAGAGTCCAGTAACGTTTTTGCTAGGTGTGGTGACATACATCTGTAATCCCAGCACTGGGGAGTCTGAGGCAGGAGGACTGTCGTGTGTTTGAGACCCTGCCATAAAAGAAAAAAAAAAAAAGTAGAAAAATAATACTTATTATCTGCTGCAGATTTATATATTTTTTAAAAAGTGTTTTAAAATTTTTAGCCTTTGTCACTAGTTAGAAAAACAACAGATTTTGATGACTCAAGATGTGGTCCTTACTCTGAAAGGCATCTTGGAAGTATATAAAATTGAAGTTGTTTCTGAGTGATTAATAGTATGTTTGTAGCTAGAAAATTAGATTTTGTACTAATCTTGTAAGTCTTCAACTTACATTTGTCATATCTGGTTATCACAAATGGAAGTGCTGTTTTTCTCCTCATCTTGCTGAGCTTTCAGATCTGAAATATGGTATAATTTACTCTAAAATTCAGTGATTTTTTTTTTTTCCTGCTGGGAGCAGGCACATTTAATTACAGAAAGCTGTTTTTCATGGAATCATTTTCTTCTAACACCTACGTAGCACTTTTTAAAATTCTGATCATAATTATATTGCTGGCAAGATAAACTAGAGGTAATTATATATAGAATTAACTAATATGAATAAAATTCTCTGTAAGATGCATCTGGGACACTTCTCATTTACTATTCTTGTAATTTGTGGTGTTAGGAAGTGTCTCTGGTGATTGTTGAATGTGATTAACATTTTCTTATGAGACTTGGGAATTATAATAGTAAGTTACTTGGCAAAAGTTATTATTAGGAAATATCAGGCATTTCACTCTAACTCCAGAAATAAGATATTTTATGTGACCAGGCGTTGTTTGTTTTTTTGGTTTTTTTTTTTCTTTTTTTTGATAGGGTGAAGATTTAACCCAATTTTGTACATAGTATAAAAGTTCTTTGGGTCATGGATTTAGCTCAGTGGTGCTGCCGCCTGCCTCACAAGTGCAAGGTCCTGAGTTCCAGTCCTGGTACCAAAAAAAAAGTTCCTTTAAAACTTAACACTCTTTTTGGTGTAAAAACTCAAACAAGTTTTACAG